CCCCTTCTCAGCGGGGATGTTAATGCATGCGGCCCTAAGTCTGCCTTTTTTCTCAGATGCGAGACATAGCAACTAACAAAACTTTATTTAAATCATGTAGAACTTCATTAATTACAGGGGTACGCATATTGTTACATTCACTTATCAGGCAAATACTTTGGGCCTTTATCATAGGAAAACTCGTTTTGTATAGATCTCTTCAACAAATTTTGAGGTGACAAACTTTGAGCTGAAGAAGGTTATCGCTCCGAAAGCTATCGATATTGGTAACGCTGGCAGTGCTTTTTGAAAGCTAGAAGGGGGATTTTTGTAGGCTAAAAGTTTGATTTCTAAAAGGCTCACATTACGAGAAGTATAAGGGTGAATCCGAGTCCCGTGACGATAGCAACATAGCACGAGAGTGTTGTTGTCCAATCAGCTAGAACCGACGCATTTGCAACCAGAAGAGAATAGAAGATGAAGTCGCCGAGTCCAAGCCGGATATTTCCTAAACAGATAGATCAATTTTAAGCGAACTGCTTGAATACATCCTCACTCTCATCGCCTTCGGAACTCCTTACGCTAAATGCACGAAGCGAGCTAACGCCTTTGGATTGTGATCGTGATCGAGCACTCCTCTTCTCATTTGGTTCACTACAAAACAACGATGAAGATAGCCAAACCGATAGCTCGACTACCTCTCTGTACTTGATTGCGTCATGTCGGTCTTTGGCAATGTTGCACTTCCAGCTGAAAAAAGCATTTATGAAACCTTTTCGATATAAGTTCCAGATATAACTAACAAGAAAAGCTCCTAACTTAGCCCAGACATTTGACAAGAGACATATATTGAATCAGCTTCGAACGCTGATTAAATGTGCCATTCCTAACTGTCGTGCACAATTTCGAAGAGAGCTACGGACTTTTTCCTGCGCAAAATTGGCATACTCATCGACCTACTGGCATCAAGGCATCATCATCTCAGTGCTGATACAGTCGCGTTGAAGGCAGTGGCTCGGGAAAATTGCGATTGCGGGTTTTTCACACCTACATGGCTTTCTGGACC